GCTTGATTTCATTGACTCATCCTCATGTTATGAAAACCAAAAAAATTATTTTGTATAGCTTTACATAGATTAAATTTAGTCAATGTACAGAGAGCTTTCAAGTGCAAATTTTTTTTAAAATGTGCACTTTGAAAAATTATATAAAGTGTAAAATTGATTTTCGGGCTTAGTACAATTTGACAAACAAAATTAGTATACGTAGTATGTTTTTTTTCTTTAAAATCCAAATTCTTAATTATATTATGATAAGCCCTTTGGTTAAACAATAATAACCTAACAAAGACTTAATCAAACTTAATAAAAATTTTTTAGAATAAATTCTACAAACTTGTAGAATTTATTCAAAAAAATTTTTATTAAATTTGATTAAGTTTTAGTTAAGTTATTGTTGTTTAAAGTTTCAAAAAAATTTTAATAAAGACCGATTTATTAAGTTACAGTAGGCTAATTTTTAATAGTGAAAAGTGGATTGACCGGACTTATAAATCAGTTTTTACAGGGATTCATCACTATTCATATTCAAACCAGGTTCTGGACAAAATAGAACCTAAAGGTTTTAGAACCAAAACCGACCTAACCATTTCTACGTAACTCCATATTACACACACGTGACTCCTGTCTGTTAACAAATTTATGAATATCTTTCTGCTTTAATCGAAAAGAAAATGTAGAAAGTTGCGAGAAAAACGAAACAAATAAGAAAGAATATACATATCCGAGCACAATTATATATGTTAAATAAAATATATATATATAGAACTATTGAGAAACTCCAGAACTCTACATATAAATTACGTAAAGCATATATGCTTTATATATAATGATGGTCGTTGTTTTGAGACATAGTTATGTGATCCAAACTTTAAAATTTATATTAAATTTGATCGATTTGCATAAAATCACGGTTTATATCCATAAGTTCTGAAACATTTTGAGTGTCATTTGCAACCTTAATATTGTTAATATTGTTTAGGGTAACAGTAAGATCTCCATGAATAAAATGCTTCTTTTTGAGTGCAGCAAAATCAACATTAAAATTTTCAATAGTTTTAAAATAGATTTCGAGTGTATGAGCCATTCGAGGGCATTGCGTTAAATTTATATGCTTTTTATTATGAGTATTACCATTAATTATTGCGTAACGCAATACTTGCTTAATAACGATACGAAATCCAACCATATTTCAAATTGCCCAATTGCCACGATGATGATTGTCGAAAAATGGAAAGTCAGTTCTATAGGCATTCTTATCAGTAGTATATAACCAATAAATTCCAGATTTGTTGCTTCCTTTGGTCTCTAAATCCCATTCACTTGTTACTGATTTGTTATTATGGGTATTCTTTGCACTATAATTAAGATTTGCTTCGGCTACAACCTTAGACGTCGTTCCAATCTCAAATCCAACTTTACCACCAATAATTTTGCTTGTCTCTTTACCTTTTGAACGTTCAGTCTCTTGGTTGGGTAGTAATGGTTCGTAAGTATTCTCTGGCATAATCGCATCAAATTTGCTTGGATTTGGAGAAACACTAATTTCAACAGAATCAAAAATATAGGCAATAGCTTTCCCATCAAGTAATTTCCATTGTTTACTGAGCAGCTCATCCATTCTACAATCAAATAACCAAACCTCAAACTTAATATTCTGCTCATTATTTTTATTAGAAATGTTTGCCCAGACGCGAGCATTTATGCTGAATGCTTGTTCAATTTCTGGTATAGTGTTTGCAACTTTGGCTGCTGCCGTAGAGGCAAATAAAAGATACTTATTATCGTCGTCTTTGCTAGAATCTCTATATTCATCATCATTGCTTTTTTTGCTGCTTCCCTCACCGTTTCTTCTATTGCTTCCGTCACCATTTTTTTCACTGGCCTCTCCGCTATTTTTTTCATTTGATCCTTTGTCTTCACGATTATTTTCTTTATTATTTCTGTTATAATCCTTTTGCCCGCT